ATGGGGCCAAGTGATTGTAAAAAGATCTCATTATAATGAAATCAATACTAAATAATTACATAGATGTCTTATCATACATCCTAGTTTGACATGTAATGAACATGATTTTGTAGCACTTAAAGTACTATTTTAAAATGCTATTAAATAACAATTTTAGCCAGGTGGTGGTGGTACAAATCTTTAATTCCAGTACTTTAATTCCAGGCAGAGGCAGGTGGATCTCTGTGAGTTCAAGGCCAACTTGGTCTACAGAGTGAGTTCCAGGACAGCCAGGGCTACACAAAGAAACCCTTTCTTGGTAAAACAAAAACAAAACACAAACAAAAAAACATTTACTAGTTAACTTACTAAATCCTGTATACGTACGTGTGTGTGTGTGTGTGTGTGTGTGTGTGTGTGTGTGTGTCTGTGTGTGTGTGTGTAAAGTTGGAATCATACTATCACTCCCAAGGTGATCTCTTGTCCATATGATGCCACTCTACAGCAAACCAGGAAGACTCAGAGTGAGAGCCCAACAGTGATGTAATGGAGGCCTACCTTTCCAACCTAGAACCCACAGCTGGTTCCTTTCTGACTCTGTCCTAGCTTCTGTCTCCAACTAGAAAGCAGGCTCTGAGAGAAAAAGCAAGTAGCACCCAACTCTGCCCACACTCTTGCTCTTGGTGGGCCTGGCCTATTTTTAGCATTTGGATGATCATTGTTATGAATTTTGACAGAACTTCCATAAGAACAGAGGTTTTTTTCCATCAAAGACTAGAAGAGTGAAGAGCATAAGTTGGTGTTCAATGATTAACCCTAGAATTGAGGATTAAAAATTTGAATTATTCCCCAAAGAAAACTCTGTGAATTTTAAAAACCAATATAGTATCTGTGTCAACAAGAGCATGGGTCCTATTACTACAGACTCAAGGAGGTAGCCATCTAGGTTACAGTGCAAGCATAAAGTTCCGCTGCCATGGTTGTCCAAAGCCAGAGCTAGGAATTTTCTGTCATAACCTGTCCCTATGCAGAAGGATGACTACAGCGCCAAAGCCCTGACAATTAGAAGACTTAGAATGGGGCACTTTACTGGTATAAACATCTTCCTTATCTATTCACGTCTATCCTTTGCTCCAAATCCCACAAACCCACGTCTGGGATGGCCACTTAGCAAAACCCGGCAGAGCAGCTGCCTTTCTGCTGACCCCAAATCAACACAGCCCGGAGTTACCGAGGATCCACTCTAGATTCTGCTTATCTATATGGCAACAATACCATGAGATACAGTTGCTGGTATTATTTCTGTAAACACTGTATGTAGCCTTTGAAAGTATCCTATCATTATCAAACTAGCAATGAGAAAGAAAAGGTTCATTTTGGCCCACTTGCACATCAAAAGCTGTGTTCTTCCCAGAACCACAGGGAAGTTTAGAGCCAGAACTTTTCTCAGGCTGCCTTCAGGATGGGGCAAGACCAGTGGAGAGGAGTGTAGGGAGAGACAGCATCAGGAAGGGGATGGAGGGAACTAAGCCAACACTAGAAAATTGATGAGCACTATAAGATGATGAGAGAACAGAAATCTGAGAAAGGAAGGAGGGGTAAATAATTGAGGAGTCACATAAGAAAAGGCAGGTACTCTGCCCAGGGCAGAAGGGGCATGCAGAGGCCTTTCTCATAAATAACTCACAAACTGTTTTCTACACACAAGCTTTTGCTTTTCACATATCCTGTCTTAATAATTAAAATATGGCTGCAAGGAATCCTTTGGCAGATCAAGTTCAAGTCCTTGAAGCACATGGCTCTTTAAGTCTCTATTCAGTGAATTTAGAGCGGGAATCGACTGAAGGTCCTGGCTAGAAAAGTTCTATTTGCCTCTAAGTTAGTATTACATCATCCAATTCTCCGTCACAGCTGGATCCCAGGCTCTGCATTCTAGAATCTCCTTGAAAGATCACACCTTAGTAGACAAGCCCGAGCCAATGACTCAGAACCCTGAGGGCACTTTTGCCAACAGAGTGAGTTTGGGCTTGAACAATGCAATGTTTTCTGATGGGACCTGCAGGGACAAATTTGTTGCTGCTGTTGTTGGGTCATTGCTAGTTTAGCCTTTGTGTAACTCATTCTCTTCTAGCCCTGGTAAGTCTTCTAGGAACTTTAGCCTTTCATGTGACCTAAAGCAAGACCCTTCAGAATCTGATACCTAAAGATCCACCCAAGTATGTTAAAGATGCAAGGAATAATAAAAGCTGTCAACATCAGTGACTCTGGAAGCCTTGATCCCTTTTAATGTCACTAATGGAAAAGCTGGGGAGTGGAGAGGTCTTTTCACCCTCTTTTAAAGAAAGGACTAGGAAGGGGAAAGAGAACCCAGGTTCACTTTTTTCAACCTTGTAAGAGGATCACAGTCCTGATATTGGGGGTCGAGAAAGAGTTGAGCAGAAGCAAGGGATGAAGTGACCCTTGCAGACAGCACACACAAGTTCACCACAAAGGTTGTCAAAAACCCAAAGAAGAAAATAATGTCTGTTAGCCTAGTTTATTAGAGAACAAGGACACCGTCATATGTGTGTGTGTGTGTGGGCAACACTGAGGCTCTATCCCTCTGGGTAAGGATCTCACTCTTTGATTATGACGGTGCAGTCTCTTGGGCCACCACTCCAATAACCTCCTATCTGGACTCTGGTTCCACCAAGACTCCCCATCTCTGGTCAAATTCTCAACAACAGTTGCAGGGGTCATTTTCACACCATCCTCTGTCCCCTGTGCTCCAATTCTACTCTTCCACTGCCTATGAGGTTCCATGGTCTCTTTCTTTTCTTTTAGCTCCAGTCAGAGTCACCTTTTAGTTCCTTGAATATACTCAATCATGCTCCCACCTCCTGTCTGAGATACTCCTTAACACTGCCAATTTCTATACTGTTCTTCTTACTTGTTCATAATACTTATTCCCTTTCAAGCAAATTATCTGGTAAATATGCCTATCTGCCTCTGCTAGAAAGTAAGCTCCAATTTTGTGCATAGATGCATCCTGAGTGCCTGGAATAGTGCCTGAGACTCAGCAGATAGTCTGCAGATTCACTTGTTGAAAACTGTTGAGCAAATGAATGGTTTGCCTTAGCTCTTCTTTATCTATCTTTTACTCTTCATGCAAAAGGTACCAGTGTTCTGTGAGAAGTACACTGGTCAAAAGTCTAAAAGCCTGGAACTTAGGATTAGATTGATCCTGTTGCAAATCCTAATTGTATCATTCATCAGCTGTTGGCACTCAATACCCACACCATCCCCTTGACCCTCAGTCCTCCATTAAAGAGTGGCACAGCCAGTCAGGATTTGCAATTCCCAACACTCAGGAACTTGAGGTTAGATGAATCCCTGGAGCCCAGGAACTTGAGACCATCTTGGATAACATAGTGAGACCCTACCTCAGAAACCAAAAACAAACAACAAAAAATGAGACTCCCTTGAAGCAGTAGACAATATAGACCACTCAATATTAACTATTAGATGTTTGAATGTATATGTTCTAGCTTCAAACTCTCTCCAATCTCAGGATTATAGGCACAATCAACAAGAGTAAGAGGACATCCCTAGCTGTACCTCTCTGGCTCCCAATGTCCTGCTGTGTCTGTGCTACCTCCTCCCTGTCTGTGCTCCAGCACTCCAGTCTTCTACAGGCCACCAGCCTTACCAAGCTTCTCTCTGCCCTAGATATATATGTATATAAAAAAAAGATATTCTCTCTCTCTCTCTCTCTCTCTCTCTCTCTCTCTCTCTCTCTCTCTGAGACTGGGTTTCTCTGGCTGTAGCCCTGGCTGTTCAGAGCTCACTATATAGATCAGGCTGGCCTTGAATTCAGAGATCTGCCTGCCTCTGCCTTTCAAGTACTGAGATTAAATGCATGTGCCACCACATGCAGCATCAAATTTTAATAAGGAAAATAATTTTACTCATTTTTGAGACCTTCATACATGCATTCAATGTGATCCCCTTAACCACTCCCAAATTGACCCCCACCGCCTCCTAATTCTTTGTCCTTAAAAAAATAATCTACTGAATCCAGTTTGTGCTGCTCATGTACGCATGGGTGTGGGGCCATCCACTGGAGCACATTCAAGCCACCAGGGACCACATCCATAAACAAAGCTTCCTCTCCTCCCTTGGCAGCCATCAACGGTCAACAATGTCTCAGCCAAAGGTGGGGGCTTGTGAGTCCCTCTCCCTCCATGCTGGACTGTTAACTGGCTTGGGTGTGTACAGGTCTTGTGTAGACAACCATAGCTGCTGTAAGTTTATGAGTGTAAGTAGAGTAGCCCATAAGTCCAGAGGACACTGTTTCACTCCAGCTCTCTCGAACGTCTGGCTCTCAAGGTATTTTCATCCCCCCTTCTACAGTGTTCCCAGAGCATTCTGGGGAAGGCGAGTAAAACACAGGAGAAATGGAGGGGAAATGAGGACTAATAGGGATAGAAGATTAAGAAATAAATATTTCTGACTTTGCAAACATGGTTTCTGTCACATTCAACTGCACCACTATAGCATAAAATAATCATAAATACTACATAACAATAAAAAGGTGTTTACAAATAAAGACATCATCAGATTTGGCCATGGACAAGAGCTTCCACCACCTGTTTAAGAGTTCCTCTTTTTTATCTTGCCAACACCTATTCCTCTGAGAAGTCATCTTCTATTGACTCTAACTAGTCAATTAGTTCTAAGCTGCCTTATGTGTGTACACTCCTACACCACACTTTGAAGGCCTGGTTACAATCTTAAATTAGCTCATTATTTATTAATTTTCTCAGTTGTTCATCATATTTGCTTCCCCTTCCAGACTATAAGTGACATGAGATTATGGTTAGTTTGTCTTAATGTTTTTTTAAAAATAGGAGTAACAGTTCAAGCAAAAAGTAACAGTTCTAGCCTCTAAGAACACATCCAATCAACTGTAGACATTGTAGAGTTCAGTAAGTGCCTATGCCATGGAGAACTAAAACTGTTGATGCTGTTCCCTCAGTATTTAGGGCAGGGGTCAGATTTATGGGCAAGGAAATTCAATACCTGATGAACATAGTACTCAAGATCAAAGAGTGCAGCGACCTTCTCTTCTAGGCTGGAGCTGGAGCTGTTGAACTTGTTTATCAGCCGTACCATAATCTGCATGTCAGTCTCAAGAACAACATTCAGCTCATCAAATTCCTTCTTCAGCTCTTCAATGGGGCGGAAGAGCTGCTTTACTGTGGCCTGCCTTGCCTAAAGAGAACAGCAAAGACGTGATTAATCCAAGGGGCTAGAGACACCTCCCTAAGATCCATATAGTCCCATCCTTACAGAACTGTGATTCCATGACCGGGGATCGAATCTGTTCAAACAGAGCACTGATACTTTCCAAGAGACTCAGGGAAGCCACCAGAATCTACCCAGACAGGGCTTTGCTCCAAAAGCACACTCAGGCCCTTCCCAGGCATGCCTGTTCAAGTTTGGAAGGATCATCTTCTTGGTGTAAACACTGAGGTCAGGAAAGCAAGACAAGTTCACTTTCAGCCTCTAACCTCACGGGACAGCTGGAGTAGAAGGCCACAGGACTTACACCATGGTTCTTTATCTTCCACAATCAAAATACCCTGGCCTTGCAATGCCCAATGCAGTCACATTTTAGGGAAACCCAGATGTGGGAAACTGTGGGGAAGAGCTGTCAGAGCAAGAGTAATTTGCCGATGAAAATTAAATCACTGTCATTACTGTCAATCTAACCACAGGTGTACAATTTGTTCAACTGTTTGAAATGGCTAAATTACTGTATGCACTATACTCAAATCTCAAACAATGTTCTCTCAATCGTCCCCACCCCGCACACATATAAAGATGTTTAAAATGAAGTTACGTTGGAGGTGAATAAAAGATTTTAATTGGATATTTTATATGTGTGGCTCTCCACTTTTTCCCCAATTTTAGTGGATGGTGCTTTTTATAAAGAGAGTCTGAAAGGTCGTGTTGGTTTATGTATCTATCTTCCAAGAAAAATTAAAAGGCATGGATACTTATAAAAAGCAGGTTGATGAGCACTTGTCAGCTCCAAATTATTCATCTGTTACCTATGGTTTCTCTTCCCAGCATAAGTATTCTATAGAAATACCAACCAATGGTATGAGTCAGCTCTTAAAAAAGATGCTCCAGCAGAGTTACCACATCTCTAGGGTACCCACACTCCATCTTTGAGCTAAACCCCTGTGAAATGCTCTTGCAAATCTCAGGTAGCGGTGCTCAGATGGTGAACAAAGCCAGCAAAGAGGTCTGGGAAGGCTAAAGCACGTCTTAGAGCCATGGAACAATAGAAGCAAGAGAAAAGGGAGCATAACAAATAAGGGACCTCTCAGGAGGATCTTGGTGAGTTCAAGGCCAGCCCGATCTACATATGTGAGCTCCCAGACAGCCAGGTCTCTACAGAGTGAGACCCTGTCTCAAAAGGAAACAAAACAACAACAAAAACAAGCAAGAAAACAAACAAAAACAAGTGACGGGCTTCACAAAGATGATGGTTCCTGACTTTAAAGAAAGCCTGTAACAGAGCCAGGTGGTGGTGGCTCACACATCCCAGAACTCAGGGAGGCAGGCAGGCAGAGGTAGGTGGATCTCTCTGTAGTTCAAGGCCAGCCTGGCTACAAAGTGCGTTTCAGGATGGCCAGAGCTACACAGAGAAACCCTGTCTCGAAAAACAAAAACAAAACAGCCTGTTAAAGAGAGAAAAAGGAGGCTGGGCGTTGGTGGCTCACACCTTTAATCCCAGCACTTGGGAGGCAGAGGCAGCCTGGTCTACAGAGCGAGTTCCAGGACAACCTCCAAAGCTACAAAGAAACCCTGTCTCAAAAAAACAAAAACAAAACAAAACAAAACAAGAAAAAAAGGATTAAAAAATTTAGTCTGAAATAATTATAAGCTCATAGGAAATTATAAAAATGAAGTAAGAGTATCCTGTGCTCTTTACCCAGTTTCCACCCAAAAAAACATCTTACATAATGACCATATAACATTAACATCAAGGACACAGGTACAATAGTTCTTATAAGTTTCATAATAGGTCTCATGATACAATAGAATTATACTGCACCATCTTTTACATGCACACTTTTGCATGTATACATGTTTTATACTACATATTTATATGCTCATTCTATAGCTTTATTCAGGTTATAGATTTATGTAGCCCAGGACAGTTAAACTATAGAACTGTTCTCCCCTACAGAGGAACCCACTGTACAGGCGCTTTATAGCTACATCATATGCTCCCAACTGTGTTCCATCCCGAAGCCCTGATAACCACTGAGGTTTTTTTTTTTTCCTCCAGCTCTATAATTCTGACATTTGGGGAATGTTATATAAATGGAACCACACAGATTGGCATTTTTCTTCACTAAGCACAATGCCCTTGAGATCTCCCCAAGTTACTGCACACATCAAGCGTTCATTTCTTTTTATTGCTGAGTATTTCATCATAGCCGTACGGCTT